GCATAACATTCATTAAAAGGGGGCGCTCCGGCCGCGTCTGGGTTTGAAAATTCCAGGGTTTTTGGTCTGCGTGTGGTGGAGGGGGTTCTCTTTTTTGGGCTGGTTCTGGATTTGCGAGGTGTGAGAGGGGAGAGGGAGAGGAGCAGGATGAGTGAGATTCACTACGTTTGGCCACTCCGCGAAGTTGCAGGCATGGCGCAGGACGATGGGCAATCCGGTCGCAGCACCTTGGATCGGGCAATGGTCCACGTGCAGCGTATTGTTTCGAAAGAATCAACAGACGCGGACCTGTATTTCCGATTAAAATACGATCCATCCAATCCAGGTTCAACTTTTCATCGAGTGCCACTCCCTTTCTGTTCGACGGATATCGCTTATCGTCCGTTTCTTTTTGGTCAACGAGTGACCACTCGTTTTCGACCTCTCCTAAGTCCATAAATTAGCTGCGCAGGCTGTGCAGGATTTTTCAGTTTATTCCAGGAAAAAGTTTTGCTTTTTTTCCAGACAAAGTAACAATATCGGGGCTTTCCGGCGAAGATTATCGGTCGCTGGATGATCTGGAAGTTGCCGAATTTGGACAGAGTCATTTGAGGGCATTTCCGCGCGAACTCAGAGACCTACTTAACAGTAAGTTTTACCATTGATTGTCTTGTACCATCTCTTAAGTTATTACTTTATAAGTTAGCATCACAAACTGAGCATCAATTTTTGTGAATTGTTCACTCTTTACATATTGTAACGCTGTTTGTTTACCCGTTTCGTTGTTTACCCGCCGACTGAATACACAATCCTAAGCATGGTTTTAGAAAATAAGGAAAAGCTTGTGGGGGAAAAAAAAACCGTCTCTTCTTCCTTCCTTTAATTTCCTTGAGAAAAAACGAATGCGTTGGGAAGTAACATAATAATGTTGGGAGTTCACAGCGCTACGAGTTACTTTTACTGCGTGTGAAATTACTTTTTAAAACCAGTTGCTCACATCTCGACATAGTCTTCTTAGTGACGAGAAATGTGTATGACTTTATGGAGCGGAACATTTCTTTCCAGCTCATTAACTTAGATGAATTAACTTTTCTGTCAACTTTTCTTGTTACTTCATCATCCCGTATTTTCCTTTCATTCTCTCGATTTTATTTTTAGATTTAATCTATAACACAAGGAATTATCAGACGAACGGTCTTGTGAATTCACTGATTGCTAGTTTTAAAATCTCCCTTCCTTCCCTTCTGTCTTCACTCCACTCTTACTCCATCTGATCCCACTATCAGATCGTCGTTCCTTCTGCTTCTCTCATCTTCCTCTTTTCCTTTTTCATTAAGCACTGCGACCGTTGTACTGACGAGTTCCTGTCACTGTGTTAAGGCGTATATGACTTAGTAGGCCGAAACGTCTTATCTCACTCCTCTCTCCTTCTCTCATATAGTAATCTACCGCGCCTTCGCCATTTAGGCATCCAAGGTCAACCTGGCTGCTACAGCCTGCTTATACAGGGTTTTCTTGCTGCTTTGCTTTTATTCATATGCATAGATGCTTCTAGCGGCACCCCTGTGCAGTATTTTTTTGCGTTATCATAGGTCCAGCATTCTAAGTTTTGAGTATTTTGATGGCGGTTCATGTCCACTGTGTTGTGTTATGCAGCCAGTTATTTGTAATTTACTGTATTTTATCTAAAACGTTTAACAGTGAATGCTAATCCAGAGTGTTAAGTTGGGTCGAGGGTTTTGACGCTAGCCTGAACATTATGGCGAAAAATTACCAAACTATGCCAGGAGACAAAAAATTCAGCTAAAATACGCGCAGCCCAGCACTGATTTGAGGCAAAGAACTTTGCGAAAAATTGGAAGGAACTCAGAGAAGTCGTTCTTGTCCAGTAAGCTAGAAAGCTCGAATTTTAAGGGATTGTCTCCCGTTCACGTACAGTCCAGTGACTTCAAACACAGCCCCCAGGCATGCGCTGTTTTCATGTTCGGGCCTGTGAAAGTTTTATGGGGGTAAGTTGCTAACTCGAGAAACTGAAAAGCTAGAAAACTGAAATTTTAAAAGGATGTCCTCCGCTCACGTAGAGAGGATGAGCCGAAGTGGTGCCTGTTTTTATCGAATGCTATGTATGCAGTGATTTTCGCCGTTTCAGCGTAGCTCTTCTTTACACCATCGGTGCAGCTAGCAACACACTTAGATTTTATGCTAACTTCTTTCATTATTCTAGCTTAAAGTTTCTTTTATCCAATACACCGTACAACTTTTTTCAGAGTTTGACTTCGCAATTTATTGTTTTTCGATGAGAGAAAAAAAAATCGTTTGAAAAAAATCTCATCGCAAGTTGTCACAGTGAACGGAAGGGATACGGATAAAAGCATGTTATTTTTGACCTAAATTTGGAGCAAGCTCGATCTCCTCCAGTTTTGTGAGGTTCAGAGATGTGCTCTGATGTTTTGTGAAGAAAATTGATTTTTTTTTTTTCCAGATGCTCAGAGTTTTTATACAATGGGAGTGCTACCGGAAATTGCTCGAGCATATATGACAGTGGATGGCGACTTGTATATGTGGAATTATGAGGACAGGTTAGCCCTATGCCAGACAGATTTCTCCCTTAATTTTTCCCTCATTCCCCGCCCTGCGAAGCACATTCGACAGCTACATCGCTCATGCAGAGAGTCACATGCTCTCTCAGATGACCGGCGCATTAGTTATTGTTGTGACCTTGAGAGAAAGTAAGGACCGATGGGCATGACAGCTGCTGGACAGTCAGTGGACATTATGTATCGGTAAGCAGTATTTGATCGAAGGTGGCCTGACAAAAGGTACTACTTCTGTACTTCTACTTGTGCTTGACAGTGAAAATCTGCTCCAGAGGGTCTGCTATATCTTCGCGCGGCTGCGTCTTAGTTCATCTCAGTGCTACGTTCATTTCCTTTATGCAAAATTTAAGATGATTTACGCTAGTGAGCGCAAAAGGTAGGTGTAAAGCAATAACCGTTTTCGCTTGATCATGAAACTGTTATCAGTTACAAGCAAATAGAATACGATACATTTGTTCATCAAATAGGACAAATGTTCATGCCATGAGGAGTGTTCTGAGTCGAGTTTGGTTCACTTAATATTTTTGTGTTTCAGCTGCGATCTTGCGTGCTTTGATGGGATTCCAAATACGATCACAAAAGTGGCAGTCGCGAAGCCAAAACTTAGAGTTTTTGAGGTTATTTATGCTACTACAATTTGCTACACAAAAACTTTCTCTTCATTGTCCATACGTTCCCCTGCTCCTGCTTGTACTGAACTTTCAGTGCTCTCCCTTTTTGACCGGTGTTCGTGCACTTTTCCAACTGCATTACTTCTCATTCATTTACATGACTTCATTTCATCTGTGTACTGAAGAGCTGAACTTTGCCTCTGTATCTAGCCAAAAGTCGAACCCGGAAGAGATCATTGGGGGGGGGGGGGGGGGGGGGGGGGGGGGGGGGT